TTAACAAAAAGGTTAAAAAGTGATACCAGACGACAATTTGATATTATTATTATTATTATTGTTATTATTAATACTATAATAATAATTATTATTATTATTATTATTATAGTATTAATAATAATATAATAATAACAATGTTTAATGTTTATAACAATGTTTAATAATAACAATAATAATAATAATATCAAATTGTCGTCTGGTATCACTTTTTAACCTTTCTGTTAATAAATTTTTTTCAAGTTTTCTTATTTTATTCCTCAGTCTTGTTATCACACCACACACACACAGACTGATGTGTGATGTGACACAGATCTCTATAGGCTGAATTCATTAATACATTTATTTCTTTAAAATGTCTTTTTGATTTTGTTGTCACATTTATTTCTTGCGCTTTTATTATTGCGGTGGGAATCATTTAGCTGCATTGAACTGCATGATTACATGGCTGGTGTGTGTGTGTGTGTGTGTGTGTACGTGTGTGTGCGTGTGCGTGTGTGTGACTGAGAGCTCAAACGCAAACACAACCTTTTGTATTCCGTGACTGATGATGATTTTAATCAAACTATTCAAACACGCCTCGTCCTCATCTTTCACTCCTCACTTTAATTTCACCCTGATTTTAACTCAATCTTTAAACTCAAATACCATCTCCCTCAGTGGGGACCAGCAAGACGTCCCCAAAAGGACAAACCGTCAGTGCAGTACGGGGATTTTTTTCCCTCTCACACACCTTACATTATCAGACTTCCCCTGGTGTTTTATACATTTAATAATAAAAACACCAATGAATACCATAAAAACTTCATCCAAAATCACCGCTCCGTCCTCACCAGGACCTTGGACGTGAGACTTCTGTCTCAGCAGGGACAGGACTTTGCTCCGCAGCGGGAGGTAAAGACCATTTAGAGACAAAGACACAGTGGTTCAGGTTTCTACTCTGTGGACTCTCCTCCTCTGAACAACAGTTCTCATGTCAACCCACTGTGACAGACAACACAGCTTCATCCTTACATGTCCTGTAGTAGAGGCAGCCTCAGAGGTAGGAGCTTTTCTTCTTTTATTTTTTTGCGAAAATGAGTAATAATGTCAGAAATAGCTCGAAAAAGATGACTAATGAGTTCAGACCCACAGAGGGGGGAGCGGCCTGGGGAGAAGTGTAATGGCCGCGGGCCGGAGGGGGGGGGGGGCGGCGGGGGGAGGGGGGGGCGGGGGGGCGGGCTTTACACCCACGCACAGGTGAGTGATTTCACCGACTGTAATCATTTAATCATTCTAAGGTCTAATGTGCAGAGACAGGAAACAGACAAGTGATTTTTTTTTCCCCACCATGTGATCACACATCTGCCTGACAGTCCTGGTGTCTCCCAGCACTGGTCAACGGCCCGGAGACATTTTCCCTCGTTATCCAGCCCACATTAATAACCCTTCATTATGGTCAAAAACTTTGTCCAGCCGTCAAATCCCATTAATTACAGGCGTTCATCCACCTCAACACGCACTTACACTAGCGCAGTGAGACTCTGGAAAAATGAACCAATTTCACTTAATTATTCTAAAAACTTGCTAACCTGCTCTCTCCAGTTTGATTCACATGACTGTACAGCTGTACAGTCATGTGAATTAGCCTGTGATCATTCAGATTAAAACAAATGTCCTTGTCAAAGTAATGAACAGAAACACTTCATTTCAACATCTATTTGTAACATGCCAAACATTACTACGCTCCCTGAAGACCACAGTCAGTGACAGAATTAACAGACGACACAGGCAGCAGATGTATTTGGGCGCAGAGTGGAATAATATTTGGAATATTTATCTAAGTCCATGTTCCATTGTCCATCTGTTTGTTTGTTTGTTTTTTTGTCTATGCAAATTGTCCATCAGGGCTACCAGGAGAAAAGGTGGTAAAAGCTCTTGTTTTACAGCAAGAAAATCAGCAGCTCCTCAGTCCAATTCCCAGGATCTCTTTGACCCCGCTGTTCTCCCTGCGTGTGTGTGTGTTTACGGACTAAGCAGCAGATGATGAATAAATATGATTTGCCATTCGCTCTGCTTGTAATGCGTGCACGATAGCATCTGTTATAACGTGATTTCAATTACTAAATACTGAAACCTTGTTTTCCCTCCTCGTTCCCAGTTGTCAACGGAGCTCTTTACTCCAGCGCCATCCTCCCTGTCATTTATGGCATCATATGTTTCCTGGGGATCATCGGGAACTGCATCGTCCTCTACACCATCATGAAGAAGAACAAGTGCCACGCTAAACAAACCGTGCCGGACATCTTCATCTTAAACCTGTCCATCGTCGACCTCCTGTTCCTCCTCGGGATGCCATTTCTCATCCACCAGTTGCTGGGCAATGGCAGCTGGCACTTCGGCGGTCCGATGTGTACAGTCATCACCGCACTCGACTCCAACAGCCAGATTGTCAGCACCTACATCCTCACCGCCATGGCCCTCGATCGCTACCTGGCTACGGTGCATCCAATCCGCTTCGACTACATCCGCACCCCCTGCGTGGCCGCGCTGGTCATCGTGATGGTGTGGTGTCTGTCCTTCTTCACCATCATCCCCGTGTTGATGTACGCCGGTCTGATGCCGCTGCCGGACGGCCTGGTGGCCTGCGCTCTGCTCCTGCCCGACCCGGTCACCAGCACATACTGGTTCACACTTTATCAGTTCCTTTTGGCCTTTGCCATGCCGCTGGCCATAATCTGCCTGGTGTACTTTAAAATCCTCCAGAACATGTCCACCAGCGTGGCACCACTGCCTCCACGGAGTTTGAGGGTGCGCACGAGGAAGGTGACCCGCATGGCGGTGGCGATATGCCTGGCCTTCTTCGTCTGCTGGGCTCCGTACTACACCCTCCAGTTGGTGCACCTGGGCGTGCAGAAGCCGTCCATCGCCTTCAACTACGCCTACAACGTTGCCATCAGCATGGGCTACGCCAACAGCTGCATCAACCCCTTCATCTACATCACACTCAGTGACACCTTCAAAAGGCAGTTTCTGAGAGCCGTGCATCCGATTAACAGGAAGTTCCGAGTGAACCCCAGTAAGACCGACGCAGGCAGCGTCAGCATGCAAATGGTCCCCGAGGGCGTCCGGCCCGAGCCGGCCCCGCGGGACATGATACCATCCAATCTGGTTTCTCAGTGAATGTCAATCTCTGTTTTTACAATCAGACAATCATTCTGCAGTTTCTCCACCCAAAACAAAACAGAATTGTCTTTTTTTTTTTTTTTTCCTCTGTAAATCTACAGTTACTACTGGCAAGAAAATATATTTTTCCATGAACAGTTACACCGCCTCCTGGAGTCTCTGTGGATGGTTACACATTAACTGTGATTGTAAAAATAACTAAGAGAGCTAGGTTAATTTTCTTTTACGACACACGGGCTCCAGACACGTCAGTGTGTTTCCTATTTCTAATAATCGTAGAACTGTCAAATATAGACCGGATCATCCCCCAAAAAAAAAAAAAATTTTTTTTTTTTTTTTTTCCTCTGTAAATCTACAGTTACTACTGGCAAGAAAATATATTTTTACATGAACAGTTACCACGCCTCCTGGAGGCTCTGTGGGTGGTTACACATTAACTGTGATTGTAAAAATAACTAAGAGAACTAGGTTAATTTTCTTTTACGACACACGGGCTCCAGACACGTCAGTGTGTTTCCTATTTTTAATAATCGTAGAACTGTCAAATATAGACCGGATCATCTCCACAAAAAAAAAAAAAAAAATTTTTTTTTTTTTTTTTTGTGGAGATGATCCGGTCTATATTTGACAGTTCTACGATTATTAAAAATAGGAAACACACTGACGTGTCTGGAGCCCGTGTGTCGTAAAAGAAAATTAACCTAGTTCTCTTAGTTATTTTTACAATCACAGTTAATGTGTAACCATCCACAGAGACTCCAGGAGGCGGTGTAACTGTTCATGGAAAAATATATTTTCTTGCCAGTAGTAACTGTAGATTTACAGAGGAAAAAAAAAAAAAAAGACCTTGTGCTGCCCTCATGTCACAACACAGGGTTCAAAGGTCAAATGTCCGTTATATTAACCACTGTTTTCAACAGTGTCCAACTGTTTTCTGAATCACATTGTACCTAAATATAATTCTGTCACAGCATGTGTGTACGCAGCAACATACTGTGACGACTAATGTATTACTGGTTGTTTATATATATATGTGGAAATTACCAAACCGTCGTTATTTGTAAATGTACACAAAATGTCAAATATACTGTGAGAAACATTGAGCATGAGATGATATGCAATCAAAAAAAAACAAAAAACGCTCGAACCGTCCATGCCGTAATGGAAGCGGTCGTCTGCAGCTGTTGCTAAGATTTCAGTGGCGCAAACAACAGCGTCGTCGCCTGTAGCTGTAAATGAAGAAGGAAGACGTTTGTGTAAAAGTGTTTTTGTTGTCTTGTACGCATCATTGTGTTCAGTCTGAGTGGGGTTTTATTTTTGTGGGGCTGTTATTAGAACGTCAGAAAGAAACAATTAGATGAATTCATTAGACCATTATCATCTGGACACATCCGACTGGGCAGCAGCGGATCACAGGGTCCGAGAGACAAGGTTTAAAAGGAGACAGTTGTTTCTTTACACCTGAAAATCACTGTGTCTTTTTTGCCGTGTTTGATATAATCAGCTTCTGGCCACGGTACATACAGTACATTCAACAAGGCCGTCGCATAAGGAAGACAATCAAAACAAGGACATTTCTCTTTTGCTTTCGTGACACGCGTCAGATTTATCCTGAAAGAGCCTGATGCACTTACGATTTAAAAACTTTTTGTAAACGATTTCTGTCTTTAATGTGAAAACCAAGCTGAGGTTTGATCATTCTCCACAGGAGTTTTCTATTGTTTTTCTTTGAGATTGCTATTCATGCACCGGTGACAACCTGAAGGAGTCGGTGCTTTTAGATAGAAACCTGTCAAAAGTGAAAGTGCCCAAAATCATTTAAGTTGACAGGAATAATAAAAACAAAAAAATCCCCCAAATGTTTCCCAGACAGCTATTAGAAACATCTAGGCTAGGTGAACAGACCAAGCACCAGATAGGGAACAAAGTGTGGAACATCTAAAAAGTCTAACTTGGATGAATGAGATCTGAAAGACTCCATTAAAACATCCTTAAAAGCAGTGTTTCCCAAACGTTTTTGAGCCACGACGCATTAAATTCTGCATTAAAAAAAACCCTGCAGTGTTTCCCAAACGTTTTTGAGCCATGACGCATATTCTGCATTAAAAAAATCTCCATATATACGTATATAGTATATATACACGTATATAATATATATACGTATATAGTATATATACGTTTACTCACAATGTACCAACCTAGTGTGAAACCTGGCCATGTTTCGTTGGACACAGCACCAATGTGCTAGCAGCAATTGAAGAAAGACACGTGAAGATCTCCTTCAATAACTCTTAGTCTCTCGTGTTGGTTTTCATGCCTCTCTGCTTCCATCTAGTGGAAGGGCATTTGATCGTTCTGCTTGTCACTGAGGCACAGAATAACAAGGACAAATGATTTGAAGCAAATAAAAAAATGAATTTCAGACGAATAAAGTGAAACTGAAACGTTTTCCCTGGCTCACCTCATGGTCTCTCATCACACGCTAGTGTGGATTTGGAATCATTCCATTTAAGGGCATTCTTCTTTTCAATTTTTCCACTTGTTTCGAAAGCTTCATCAGGAAGGTTCTGTCAACCGGTCTTGTAGCCAGCACAAAAGATTGTAAAGAAAATCAACAGCGAGACGATGGAATTACCCAAAGACTGGGCTGAAAGTAATTGAGAAACGTGTCCCGCGCAGCCGCAATTTATTGCTTTGAACTACCAGAGTTGTGTTCAACTCATACACAGGCTCTGTAGTAGCACTGGAGCTGCATTTTCCACCAGTGACCAGCCTTTTGCATTTTGTATCAGCGTTTGACGTTCTTGACGACCTCACCTCAAACGCTGATACAAAATGCAAAAGGCTGGAGTGGGTTGAACTTTAAAGTGCGAGCAAATGCCATAAAAACGATAGACGTTAGCGTCGGTGCTATATTTGGTTTTACAATCGCTAACTTTAATGTTTTTTTAATGGTTTTGGACGTCAGGGAGACGTTTGAGATACAATTAACATCAGAAGAACCCACTGAAATGACGGCCAATAGGATTCACTATCCTTCTGATTACTGGAGGGAATTATAATATTTGTGAGCGAGACTTACTAAGAATGATTCACATTTTAATTAAAGGATAAAACAAAAAAGCGTTGACTCGGGGCTTGTGCACAACATTGACTTTATTTGTTTGTTTTCAAATGTCGATTAATTATACAGTCAGTTATTCAAATATTTATTACAGAGTGTTTCTGCTGCGGAGGGATAATTACAGCCTGTTGTGTAATGGTGTCATTTTATATTCATACAGTGGAAGTGTTCCTGCTGCACGATCACTGCCGGTGCTGCATAAAGGCCGCAGGTGCAGTGGATTCACTGTGGACTTCGTGACGCTTGAAGCCCAACATTCACTCAATAAGACGGGCTCGTCATCAGAACGACTCGTTCTCCATTTCCATCTACTTAGCACTGGTGTAACAATAACAAGTGTCTGTGTGCGCCGTAACGTCACCGCTTCATCGTCACGACCTGTTTGTCCCGTCAAACAGCAGGATGTACAAACAGAAGTGACATAATGAAATGTTGATGTTTTGATGTTTTGATGTTTTTTTTGAAGAACATATTTATGTGGATGAATAAAAACATCATTGGTGAGTGATGTCGGTGGTTTGAGTTTTTAAATATTTTATGAAACATTTTTTAAAAAGGAAAATTATTATTTTAGCCCTCCTTCAAATGTTTCACTCATTTATCCCAGGACAGTATGTTAATAAAATATATATTCATTATTGTTATTTTTTTTTGTTGACACTAAGAATAAACATTACATTACAATAAAATAACAAACCTTATATAGCATGGAATTTTGCTGGACTGGAGGGAAATAAAAATTCAACAAAACTAAAAAAAATCACAAAATCTTGGAATAAAAATTCAACAAAACTAAAAAAAAATCCCAAAATCAAAAGTTGATTTTTCAATTTCTACAGTGTATACTTTTCCAAAAAGAAAAACCCTGAGAGTCCACACTGATACTGTCAACTACTGTATCTACGCTGACATTTATAGACACAGTTCACTAGAGCGCAGCAGCCACAGCATCTTTTACCTACGACCTGTGTGTTTCTCCTTTCCATTATTTCAGCTACAGCGAAAACAAATTACACATCTGAATCTTTCCATCACCGCTGCTATTAGAATAATAAATAGTTTCACTGAAACAAAACCTCAGTTTAATTCCCCCGACTCAATGCAACATCCACAGCTAAAACAATAGCCGTTTCAGACACTGTTTACACGGAAGGATTTCATTTGCATAGTTAATTATTTGGCTTGTCATTCTGGACTCATTCTATCCATTTGGCCTCTATCACTAGATACATTCACTGAATATTTGTCACGTTGAACAGACATTTTTTTTGGAGAAATCAGCTGAAGGTTGTTTTGTTCTGCTGCTCTTTCATTTAATCGCCTCTGCGTCGGCTAAATGAAGACAGAAACACAAATTGGTCCAATTGAGCATTGAAATGTTTCCATGGTTCTCCTCTGGCTCTGGCGAAGTGTTAATTAAACCACTAGAAACATCAAGGCTGGAGACAAATCCAATCATTCCATATACAACAGATATCGCCAAATCTGTCGACCGCAGCCATCGGTTGTGATTATTGTCACCAAGTACTTCATACATTTTAATAAAGCAGGGCTTTAGATGAGATGATTACCAACCTACGGTTCACTGACCTGACAGTGACGGTCAGAGCAGTTACAAAATCATCTTCCTTTGTGTCTTTCTTCAATTCCTGTGACAGTAACAGCGTTGCATTCACCTAAACAGGCCCATGTTTTACATTGGGAGTAATCTGAATTAGGAGCACAGTATATTTAATGTCATATATTTCTTGTGACATTAGGGTTTGCAGTGCATCATGGGCTTTTTCTAATTAAACTGATTCTAATGTAAAAAGCTGAGGAACTCAGGAACCTCACAGAACATCTTGACAGAACCGATTCATGCTGTGGGACTAATGAGACTTTTACTGTACACCAGTGGGTCTCAATTATTTCCTGTCATGCTCCCCCTTGGGACTGTGCCCACCCCAGGGGG